GCCATTATTGGACAGGGTGCTGCAAATTATTTAGCATTTTGCTGTGTCTAACGGATAGGTATTTCAAGTAAAACTTCTCAACTAGAGTGGAAAGAGGGGACTGGGTGTCTGGCCTGTGTTTTCCTGTTGGAAACATCATCAACAGTTAAAGTTCATACACACCTTCCCTGCGCTGCACTACAAAACACAGTACTGCTGGTAGCGATGAATCCTGTAGGTTATACCCGCTGAGTTGTTCCATATGCAGGGGGTTGCTCCCCTGGACAAGCTGATGGACCCACTGACAGCTGGAGGAACATGTTCGTTACACTGTCAACAATCCCCCCTGAGCACCCAAGCGACACATCACGACATCATCTGTCTATCTGCTGCTTTGCCTAAACACAAACCCTGCTGCCTCGATTGGTCCGCCTCTCATCTCTGCATCAAGGTGAGTTCTTAAATGCTTATAATTACAGGTTTTCCAATTAAATGCTTATTTAAAATACTGCAAAAATATTTGGGGAAAAATTACATCTGAATATTCATTAACTTAGAAGACAAGATACGGGTAAGTGCAAGATGAAGATAAGAAAGCTACCCCCTCACTAATCATTTAGAGATGTTGGGACGTGGAATAGTTCTAATTAAGTTTTTAGACATTACCAGGCTTAAAGATGTATTATTTAACTAATGAAAGAATAAACATACAAAAACTAGTGAAAAAGGACTAAAACAATCATTAAATGATAAGAGCATTGTGTAAGAGACCAAAAAAAAAAATACTTATGTATTGCTGATGGGACAGGGAGAATGGATGGAAAGGGAGAAAGCATAGGATATACAGCAACTAAAATCTACAGCATTTGCAGTATAATCAATATGATTTTTGTTGTCCAGGCAAGACTGAGATGGCTGGACATGATGGTGCCCGAACTACTGCTCACTGCCCGCTGCCTCAACATCTTTGCCACAATCCTCGGTTCCATCATCATCCTCCACATCTGTTATAATCTTCGTAAATGTACAAAGTGTTTATGAGATCAATCCAAGTATGGGAATAACAAAATTTGATAAGTGGTGAGGACGTTCAATTGTCGACACCTGTTAGGGACATAGTGAGAACAGGGTGTTGGGGAAATCAGAAAAAGGCCGACCGACTCGAAGAAACAGGGGAAGATGCTAGCACGTTAACCACCGATGTGCACGCTTGACGGAGTTCTGACCGCAATCAATGAGATAAAGTCAGACTTTAAAGACTTTTCAGGGAGACTGGGACAAGCAGAGAACCGTATTGGTGACATGGAGGATGATATTGCTAATGAGAAAACCAGAACCACGATACTGGAGAAGTAGGTGTCTGAGCTCACCTGGAAAACAGGAGCCGCCGTTCAAATCTCAGACTGGTGAATCTCCCGGAGAAAGTTGAAAAAGGCGATGCAGCTGCTTTTCTGGAAAGGTGGCTACCCGATGTCCTGGGACCCGAGTCTTTACCTGCCCCGCTGATTATTGAAAGAGCCCATAGACTACCAGGTGCGCCACAATCCTCTGCTCCGCGACTCATGATACTGAAGTTTTTAAACTTTCGAGACAAGATCCGTGTCATGCAGGCGGCCAGAAAGAAGGGCAAGATCATGTATGAAGGCCACCATGTCATGCTTTTCCAAGACATCTCCACCGAGCTGCACAAGAAAAGAAAGCGATTCGATGATGTGAAACAACGACTACGGGACCTGAAGATAGACTACGGTATCATCTACCCTGCTAAACTCAGGCTGCTCCACGAAGGGAAACCTCGCGTGTTTGCTGATCCTGCAGGTGTGGAGTCGTTTATTAAAGAATTGGAAACCCAGCAGGTTAGCCGAGACTTTACTTAACCTGCATTTAACCTGAACCTGTTTTTCATCTACTAAGAAAAGGTACTGTCTGTCTCATGCACGCTGCAACGATGCTTTACCAGACTACACCGGATTGTCACTGTACGCTGACGTGGTTTTAAACCCACACACCGGACAGATGCGCATATACATATATTGTATATTTTGTTTGCTTATTGCATTAAGCCGATTTTGAGCGGGTGGGTTTGTTTATTGTGGGATTAATCAGTTCATAACTGCTCCTCGTTGTTAGTGGATCAGTTGAGCGTCTAGCTCACTCTTAATGTTACCAGGGAAGGTAAGCCGTCTCGTTTGGGGAGACAGTGCTGGGATTAGTTTAGGGGTTATAAATGTACATTTTATTCTGAAATGTGGGATGACGACATACAATCCAAATGTTTTAAGAACGAGATTACAGTTTTCATCACTCCTCCCTATAACATATGTGGCCTGGTTGAAATTATTCATGCTTGGTTTTGTTTTATATGTCTTCTAATCTAAATTTAAAGTTTACATCCTGGAATGTTAGAGGTATGGTGAAGTTAGCCAAAATTAAGCAAGTCCTCAGGAGGGTTAAACAACTCAAATCGCTAGTTGTATATCTCCAAGAAACCCATTTATTGTCAGATGAAGTGATAAAGATAAAAAGAAGATGGCCAGGGCAAGTAATATCAGCCTCCTACTTATCACACACCCGAGGGGTGATGATCCTGATTCATAAATCTATAATACAATAACAACAGACCCTCAGGAAATTAATGATACTTTTTCCATCTACTATAAAATACTATAAAATACTATATTCATCCGAATCCCCAGAAAATGTGGAAACACAATCTGAGTTCCTGGACAATCTTTATATTCCTTCCATATCAGACGATTTTAAAGAACACATGGATAGGAAACTAGATGCTTCAGAAATTGCTGGCGCCATTTCCAATATGAGAGGAGGTAAAGCCGCAGGCCCTGACGGTCTTCCAGTTGATATCTACAAGATATTTAAAGATAAATTAATTGAACCCCTTTTAGCTATGTATGAGGAGGCCTTTCAACAGGGTTGTCTTCCAAATTCCCTGAGGAGCGCACTGATAACACTTATTTTGAAACCCAATAAATCCCCTACCAATTGCACATCATATAGACCTATTTCACTGCTTAACACAGATGCTAAGATTATTGCTAAAGTAATGGCTAGAAGACCGGAACCGGTGCTCCCGACGGTGATCAATCCGGATCAGAATGGTTTTGTGAAAAACCGCCAAGCTTTCCATAATGTCAGAAGGGTGTTGAATTTGATACATACGAGGGAGGGAACCCCTGACACTGCTATTCTGTCTTTAGATGCTGAAAAAGCATTCGACAGAGTAGAGTGGAGCTATTTATTTGAAGTGTTATCTCGCTTTGGCTTTGGTAGCTACTTCCGAAGATGGATTGAGACACTTTATACTGACCCGATGGCAGAGGTCTCCACCAACTATGTAATATCCTCTCCTTTCAATCTCACAAGAGGTACCCGTCAGGGGTGCCCTCTCTCGCCAATGCTATTTGTTTTAGCAATGGAGCCGTTTGCAATAGCGGTGAGATCACACCCCTCAATTTCAGGTATAAAAGTATCAGACACCGAACACCGCATTATAATATATGCTGATGACACCCTTTTACTTCTAACAGACTTAAATAACTCAATCCTTAATCTGACTAACTTAATTGACACATTTGGAAAATTTTCAGGCTTTAAAGTAAATGAAACAAAATCCTCTATCATGTTCTTGAATAAGCAGGAGCGAATAAATCCGGTGATAAACCACCCTTTCAATAATGCGGTAAATGGATTTAAATATCTTGGTATCACCATTACACCAACCATTAAAGACTTAGTATCCTGTAACTATGATCCTATAATTTCTACAATGACTGAATCCATAAATAGCTGGTCATCAATGCCAATCTCCCTTTTAGGACGTATAAATGTAATCAAGATGAATAAACTACCAAAGTTTTTATACCTATTTCAATCCATCCCGTTACCCCCACCGCCACAGTGCTTCTCAAAAATGAAACAACTATTTACTAAGTTTATTTGGAATAACAGAAGGTCAAGATTGAGACTGTCACTCCTTTACCTGCCTTATGAGAGAGGAGGGTTACAATTACCCAATTTACAATGGTACTTCTGGGCTGCTCAAATTAGAGCTGCAATGTACTGGTTTTCACCTGAACCTTATTTACCATGGGTACAAATTGAAAGTAGCTGCACTAAAGGCCAGTGACTTGACACTTATTTATATTCTGCATCTGTCAAAAGACTGAAGCAGCTCACTGATAACCCCTTTGTGAGAAACACGATTAATGTCTGGCACAAGGTACAGTCATTTCTTGGTGAATCTACTTTGTTTTCAGGCTTTTCACCAATATGGGGGAACGATAACTTTTCGCCTGGCAAAAAAGACCAAGGTTTTAAAATGTGGGCAAAAAAGGGCATCTGTAAAGTTATGGATCTATATAAGGAAGGCAAACTGGCTTCATTTGAGGAACTTAGAAATGAATA